TGGGAAGAATTGAAATTTTTTTCTATTGAGAATTTCAACCAAAACCATGCCATGTCTTTACACTTTTTCCGATTTTGTTTTATGTTCTTCAATAAGATTTCAAAGTTTTCTTCATTTCCATCACTCTTGCTTAGTTCATGATTAAACTAAAGCATTTAAAAATGAAGAAACTAATGCTTTATTACTAAGCTAAAGAGTGAGTGTGTAGATAGATAAATAGAAATTTCATTTTTTGGTATGACTACTGCTAAATTTTAGAAATCCTGAGAAATATGACAATATGGCTAAACTCATCAAAAAAGGTTAGAATTTGAGCTGAGAGAAAAGAAAACTTTGTTTCATACTTAAAATGGACTTATTTTTTTCATACTGAAATTTATAATTATTGTAATCCTATCTGAAATAGTTTCAGAAACATTATCTTTGCATATTCTTGAAAGTAAAGATATTATCTAATATGAAATATTTTCCTGTACTGCTAGAAACAAAATCTCTGAATAAAATCATTGTGAAATCATGAGTACAGTCTTACTTGACTAGAAAGTTTAGAAGCTTCAACAGCATGTTCAAAATCTAGTCTTCCAATTACAGCAGGCTCTTTATTCATTACTCCTTGGCCTTTCTTGTATTCTGCCTAAAATGAATAAATGAGAGAATGTTAAATATTTCTACTTTCCAATGAAGAATTACATTGACACTAGCCACAAATAGATAGATAGATAGATAGATAGATAGATAGATAGATAGATGATAGATAAAAGACCCTCGGTCCATAAAAATATTCCTTACAGCTCATCAAATTCTAAAATACTGAATGCTAAAGCAGAAATTTATTTTATAATATGGCTATCTAAATAAAGTGAACATTTCTGTAGTAAAATAATTACTCATTTTGAGCCATGTATCCAATCATCATCATCATTGTATCTATACACTGAAAAAAATAAGAAATTTCTGAGTAACTGAGACTCTGTCTTCTACATACAGATAGCTTTTATGGCTTTGTTTAGTCTCAGGAACTGATCTAACCCTATCTGATTAACATGCAGTTGAAGTTAGAAAATAATTATTGATTATTCATTTTTAAGGTGTGTAAAGCCTATTACTTAAGTATTTGGTTCAAGTTAAGACATCATTTTAAACCAGGTATTAGGAATGTTCAAAAAAATATTAATCAAGAAGGATGTCTTAGAGAACATAAGAAATAGCTCTGTGGTGTAGGAAACGTGCAAGGGTAAATGTTGGCAGAACAGAATCTACAAATGAACAGCAACAAGATAAGAACAAGGCCAAATGAAGTTCTTTTGGACAAGGTGAGGTAAGAGATAATATGGGACCAGATTACTAACAACTTGACTTTCAAACTGGAACATTTGAATGCTGTCTTATACCTGAATACTATATATCTATATATTGATCTAAAAGTATGGTAATATTAGCCATAGTCAAGTCGAGTTTTAACAGCTTCTGCATATACCCAAATTATTTACAGGATTAAATGCATAATTCAGATTTAAAAATTGAGACGATTAATTTCACTCATTAAATTAACCATGAAACTGCCAAAGCCATGCTTTGTTCCTGCAAAAATAAGAAATCATTTCCGCTCAAGATAAGAAAGAGCAATTACATTGCTTACGATCTTGGAGATCTGCGTTGCCATCTTGATGTCTGGTCTGTTGAGCTCTGCGTTATACATGTGGGTGTCCTGCATATCTTTTCTATAAGAAATCTGATCAAAGAGACAGTTTTGATTTAAAAAAATAAATTACTAATTTCACATAGCCTTAATGCCACAACATGATTTACCCTTGTTACAATCACCTTAGAAAGCCAACTGACATTTAATGCAGCATTTATTTGGATAGATATATTCTCTTTTTACTATACCTATACCTCACTATCATTATTACATATGAACAAATTTATACAACATAAAAAATATGAGCCCAAGACCTTGGCACAAAACTATTCTTATAGGATTTCATATACATTCCCCTCATATGCATGCCATTGTGTCTAAGTGTGCATACTGATATTCACATAAATAACATCCTCATCAAGGGCTTTCACTTGCCCCTCATACAGTCTCTACCCCAGTGGATGCAGGATAAGCCCAGCACATGAATATAGAAAATCACTTCTGTGGGGGGAGGGTGTGTGAAGCTCTGTAACTCTCTAACTTTTACCCTGCCAACCTTTCTCTCCATTTTCTGACTGGACTATTCAAATGCTCACATCTGGAAATCCTAGTGTGGGCACCGATAGTTTTATTACCTATTAAATACCATTGCAATGACTTGATCATCCCCAAATAAAAGCAATTACATTCAGGAATATTCATCCTCCAAATGCACATTCGGCACAAACTAAAATGTGGAAAACAGAGATTTTAAAAGAAAAATATACATAAATTTTGCCAAAGGCACTCTAGATAGAAGTGGTCATTTAGATTAACTGGATTGACAAGTAGGAATAGACCCGAAGTGAACCAGTATAATGTCCAATGGTCAACACTTCACCAATCTGTCCCCTTCTCTATTTCCTGAGACCAGTCATGATTTGAAAGAACACTTAGCTATCCTCCAGACGCAGTTCTACTTGGCAATATCACCAAGGCCTGTCAACTTGTCCATTATCTATATATATATATAAAACCCTAATATCCAAATAGAGAGAATGGCAGAACAACAACTGAACAACAGAACAACCGGTCGCAATGACCTGCACTGACTACCAGGGGCACGCACAGAACACGGCGGGCATTGGCCATGGTGGGATGGTAGAGCAGGTGAGTGGGAGCGCCAAACCAAGGTGGGGCACTGGTTGCTGTCACTGGGACGAGCCTCTGGTGGTTACTGAAAATTCTCTGCTCCCGCATGCCACAGTCCCACCCGGCGCTCATACCTGGTGCCGGCACCAGCCCCACCCACACCCACTGCTGGCGCCAGAGCCACCGCTCACAACCACTGCTGGCGCCCAGCACTGGCCCAGATCACTCAGCGCCGTCAGCGGGTGAGAGCGGCAGCTGCCGGCCCCAATCATTCATCAGGGCTTCTCCACCTCCCCCTGCTCCTGAGGGGCAATCGGGCTGGCAGCTGCCGCTTGCACCCACTGCTGCTGTCGGCCCCCCTCATACCCACTGCCGGCATCCGGCGACAGTCCCAATTGCTCGGCGCTGTCAGCAGGTGTGAGCAGCGGCAGCTAGACCCGATCACCCTTGAGGGCTTCTCCACCTCCCCCTGCTCCTGAGGGGCAATCGGACGGGCAGCTGCCGCTTGCACCCACTGCTGCTGCCGGCCACCCTCATACCCACTGCCGGCATCCGGCGATGGTCCCAATTGCTCGGTGCTGTCAGCAGGTGTGAGCAGCGGCAGCTAGACCCGATCACCCTTGAGGGCTTCTCCACCTCCCCCTGCTCCTGAGGGGCGATCGGGACAGCAGCCACCACTCACATCTACTGAGGAAGCATGCCCTGCTTGCACCCTCTGCTAGCGCCAGCCCAATCGCTACGCGCCGTCAGCAGGTGCAAGTGGGGCTGGCGCCTTCAACACTCGGGACAGCAGCCACCACTCACATCTACTGAGGAAGCAGGCCCTGCTTGCACCCACTGCTAGCGCCAGCCCCAATGGCTACACGCAGTCAGCAGGTGCAAGTGGGGCTGGCGCCATCAGCACGTGGGAGTGGCTGCGGGGGGATGGTGGGAGAGGCCGGGCGGGGGCACTGAGAATGGGCCGAGACCCACCCCTGTGCTCACTGCACCCTCGCGGCCCACAGTTCCTTTCAAGGTGCACGCATTTGTGCACTGGGCCCCTCGTATAATTATATATTCTACTAAAGTTATAATGCAGAGGGCATGGTAATGGTTTCAGAAATTCATGTACATTTTTTAAAGGCACAGATCTAGGTGGAACACGGAAGTACAGTGGAACCTCAGTTCTTGAATTTAATTCATTCCAGAGGCTGTTCAAGAAGTGATTTGTTTGAAAACTGAATCATTGTTTCCCATTAGAAATAATGTAAACTGGAAATAATTATTTCCCATTAGAAATAATGTCAATCCATTCCAGACCTGCAGATGATTCCCTGTTTTAACCTTTCTTATATACATGTCTAATGTACTGCTTAATCTATAAACAAACACATCTTTTCTTAAATTTATTGAACCACCCTCTATTAGCCCTTCACAAATCACTTTCAGCACTTGTCCCAGGGGTATCTTTCAGGAAGTCAGTATGCAATATCTTCACTTTTTCAAATATCACTGCCTCCAAAATGTTGTCACTGGCTAACTGCTGTTCTTCTATACAAATCAACGACAGTTTTTCTACCTCTTCAATTGCCTATGATCATTGTGTCTTTCACACCATAGCAACATTAGCACCCTTGATGGCCTCTTCATGATTTACAACTGTGCTAATCATCCATTTCACCAGTAACAAAAGCAAAAACAAACAAACAAAAGACAACAACAAACACACACACACACACACACACACACACAAATATTCACAGCACAATTTCCTGAGATGTTAACACATGAAGTCTAATGGTAAACCAAGTTGCATTCTCTCCTTTCTTTGTGGCCTGAGAGACTTTTTGTCATGCTGATGTATCAGTGTAAAAGGGTTGTTAAGTCAAGAACTAAAGTTTTGTTCCATAATGGAGATATTTTTTTCTGTGAACAACTTGGTGGAGAACCGAATTGTTTGAGATGGGAGACTTTCAAGAACCGAGGTTTGAAAGTATACAGCTAAACATCTATACAAATGCACTATCAACTGCATTTTGCACAACACACTTATAATATTGCCTGCAAACCTCTTGCAATAGCATCATCTGTGGTACTTATTTCAAATTTAGATTTCTGAGGTCCATTCCCAACTTTGTAATGGAATTTCAATAAATGGGGCCCAAGAATTTGCATTTAAATGAATTTCCTGATTAACTACTATGAATGAGTATTCTAGATAATTCCATGTATCTTGTTATTTTCTTTTCAACCTTGCAGGGTTAAAAAAACATTGCTACATTCCTTCTTTCAAAAATAATATCAAGTATACAAAATGATCATGTATGAAGAGGTCAGTAGATAGGCTCCTTATGCATTATATTATTTTATTTCAATAAAACATTTAGATACATTTCTATTTACATTTTTTAAATATATATTTATTGATTTCAGAGAGGAAGAGAGAGGGAGAGATAGAAACATCAATGATGAGAGAGAATCATTGATTGGCTGCTTATTGCACGCTCTCTACTGGGAATGGAGCCCACAACCCCAACATGTGCCCTTGACTGGAATCAAACTTGGGACCCTTCAGTCTACAGGCCAATGCTCTATCCACTGAGCCAAACCAGCTAGGGCACTATTTACATTTTTAAGACCTTGTGTGTGCCTCACCATCAAGACTAGTTTTTCAACTATGTTTATACTCATGAACTTGTTTGACAAGTGAATAGCTTCAATACAATTAGCATAATTTCAGCAAGAATCTGTTTTCTTCAGTATTCCCATTTTCATAGGATTACCTTAACAAGTAATTTCAGGTAGGTTTTGTGCATACAGGTACCAAAAGAAACATAAAAAGTAAGCTGAAAATTGAGTTATTTTGTTGGATGGGCTTTAAATCTTTAGGGATTTAAAACAATCCAATTTTATTGGTTTCAAAAAGCAACGCACTCACCCACAAATGATAGCCAATCACCTCAGCCTGCACTGAGTTAAACACAAGCTGTGTAAACAAAAACCAACTCTCAGGTGAAAAGAAGCCAAAATCATTACTTACCTACAAAGGCTAGCTGTTTCCATGTTACTACATTCATAGCAAAACCATAGGGAGGGAATGTCTTTTTGTTTAGAAAAGAATGAGAGTAAAATGGAAACCCTTACTTTTTGAAAAGAGCTGCAACCTTTCAGAAATCTAAGCTGTACATGAGTTACCTAATTATATGCTGTTCAGCCTAATGATGGAGTGAAGAGAGGTGAACGGCACAAAGACACAGGAGCAGGACTCTGAATAGGGTCCCATCATCCATGTAAATTGCAAATTAGAGGCCAGCATATGTGACTCAAAACAAATATTAAGATTGACGTGAGCTGCAAATTCAAACAAGCGGACACCACAGAGCCACACAGGAAAGACCACAGGAGCCTGGTCACTAGTCAAATCTTCCAGAATATCGCTGCTTGGCGATAGTCCGCAGGAATGAGGGCTGAAGATGAGCAGCAAGTTCCTGGTTTTCACTAGCTGGAAGGATGTCTAAACATAGGTGGTATGACAACATGGGTCATTAGCCTAAATTATTCCTTTGTAGTAAACGCGTTTTTGTTTTTTTTTAATCTGCCTAGCATTTATTTATTTTTTTAATTGGAAACTGCCCCACCCTCACTCCATGTGATTTGGTGGAGCTATCAAATACAGCCTACTTTTCTGTGACAGGCTATCCAATCAGATACCCCATCCCTTTGGAAATCATCCTATATAATAAAAGTGTAGTATTCAAATTGTCCCCTCAACCAGGAGTTCATCCTGGAGTTCGATCAGGGGGCGGGGCCAGCCGGGGAAAGGGAGGGAGGCCCCGGCTGGCAGTCGGCAGCCACTAGGGACCCTACCAGTGCATGAATTTCGTGCACTGGGTCTCTAATGATTAATAAGAAAGCAGACATAAACCAAGCAGGGCCAGAATCATTTGAAGGATCTGAGGCTAGGAGAGATAGAGCTGCTG